GATGTTGGTTAGTGCCTGTTGGGTAAGATGCCATTCAAATAATCCATTCAAAAGATGGCACCGCTGATATTGCGGCACTTCCTCAGTACCGCTGAATAACACAGGCATAGGTTATAGTCTCTGGATGGATTTAAACCTTCCTTCAGCTGGGTCAGAAACCACAAAGTCCTTTCCTAACATGGGCTGCAGCAGCTCACCCTCGCCTTCCCAAGAATAGGAATGAACAAGAATATTGGTCTTGCTGCTGACACTCATGTACCTTAAACAACTTTTTTAAAAAAGTGTAAGATATTATTAAGCTGGAGAAGGTTCAGAAGAGATTTACCAGCATGTTACCGGGTATGGAAGGTTTGAGTTATAAAGAAAGTCTGTATAGGCTGAGACTTCTTTCACTGCAGCGTAGGAGGTTCAGAGGTGACCTTCGTAGAAGTTTATAAAATCATTAGGGATATGGATAGGATTAATGGTGCGTGTCTTTTCCCTAGGATGGGGAATTTCAAGACTAGGGGACACAGTTTTAAGGCGAGAGGAGAGAGATTTAAAAAAGATGAGGGATAAATTTTTTGCACAGAGGGTGTATTGCGTGTGGAATGAACTTCCAGAGAAAGTGGTGGTTGTGGGCACAATTACAACATTTAAAAGACGTTTATGTAAGTACCTGAATAGGAAAGGTTTTGGAAGGATATAGGCCAAAAGCAGGCAGGTCGTGCTCGTTTGGTTTGGGACTTTTTTCGGTGTGGCTTGGTTAGACTGAGGCATCTGTTTCCGTGCTGTATGACTCTATGCGGGTGTGATCAACTTGAGTGACAGAAGACAATATTTCAAGTTTTTAAAGAAGGGATTCGTCGAATAAAATGAATATTGAGCTGCTGGTATGTATTGATTGGGCACGGTTTCTGGAATGGAATTTTGTTTTTCATCTTTCAGTGAAAAAGCAGAGGAGGAAGTGATGACACACTTGAATCCACTGAAAGTTCTGCATCGCGTCGAGCATTTGATGGAAGAAGACAGTATAATAGTGACTGATGGGGGTGACTTTGTGGGAAGCGCTGCCTATATCTTGAAACCCCGAGGTCCTCTCCGATGGCTCGATCCCGGTTAGTGCAAACTGAATTGGTGAAGGAGCCTCTGGGGACTGGGTGAATCGGTGAGATATGATGTTTCTGGTGGTGCTTAGCAGATCCTCTTTGGAAAGTGGATGTTGTTTAGAGCTGGCTAGAGTTCATTTCTGTGGTTTTATCACTTTTTATGGTTAGAAACTTTTTCTTGGATGGGGTACCAGCGAGTTGGTGCTTCTCAGAGAAGTTTGGGAGGCAAAGAATGTTTATTCTACAATCAAGTTATAATTTTGGAACTATTCAGGCATTAATCTTGCAATGAATTGTAGAACATAGCACCTTACTTCATTCTCAGGACATCTCATATGCCTTGCAATCTATGAATCACTTTTGAACAGTAATTGCTTTTATTAAGCAAATGCCCCAACCAATTTGATACAACAAGGTCTCATTCATAGCAAGATTGAAAAACCAGATAACCTGCTTTTAGCAAAGCAAGTTTGGTGAGAAACATAAACAAACATACAGAGATCACTGTGCTCTTCAAATAGTGCCAGGGATATTTTTACTTTAATGTTTTGTCTGAAGAGCATCATCTTGGGTTACTGCAGTAGTCCATCTGCGGTGTGCTGGAGATCTTCTTATGTTATGTGCTGCAGAATCTTGAAGGTGCAACCATGTCATATTTTCTATATCCATTTCAAAATTAACCTTAATATATCTGATCAGACGTGGAAGAGTGGGCAGGGTTTGCAGTATTGGAAGTAATCAGTAATGCAGAATATGATGCTGTTGAGTGAAAAGTGTTTTCACCTATTTGATGCTGGGTCAAGGCAGGTTATTTGGCATCTGGGGCAGCAAGGCATAGTTATGGCCTCCCTGGTACATCAGCAATCAAGGTGGTGATTGCCTGCTTGTTTGCAGTTTTATAAAGGTTCATAATCTGGAATAATCACTGGTCAGTTGATGATTTGTAGTGAGGGCAGGTTGATAACTGAATTGGAACATGGCTCCTTCACTGCTGCACTGAATGTTGTCCTATGTTCCTAATCCAACTGCTGGTCCCAGGCTTGAACCTATAATCATCTGAGCTTGAAAAGAAAAACTGAGCTGTTCTCTTCTCTCCCTCTGCACCCTCTACCCAAACACCAAGCTGCACACTGATTTAAGACCTCCATCCATCTTGTATTTTCCCAATTGTTTGTAAGCAGCGTCTGCATTTCTAGCAGATTGTTCATCTTGGGTCTTTTTGTTCCCAGGAGCTTTTGGCACACTCGGAGTAGGTGGTGGATTTGCACTTGGAGCCAAGCTTTGCAGACCAGAGTCGCAGGTCAGTACCTTCTGCCCTGATCCTTTACAGGAGCTGTGTGCACAAGGCTTAGAACTGATAGTGAGAAGTTATGACATGTTATAAAGAGTTTATCAAATTGTTTAAATGTCCTAGTTAAAATTTTTGGGTGACTTGAGAGAGCATGTATGACAGCAATCCAGCCAGCCAAAGTTTTGTCCAGTTAATGCTGTGTGTCTCCATCTGGCTTTTCATTTCTGATTCAACCAACCCCGACTATTGTTTTAAAGCTTTGCTCAGTGTCAACATTTCAGCAGAGGGATGCAGATCAGATCCCGGGAAATTGCCTGGTGCAAAGCCCTGGGTCCCCCACTGTTGTCTTGTAATGAGACTGGGCCAGTAAATTGCTTCTAGTTTGGCAAACGCAATCAGTATAAGGATTACTGCAATTGACAACTGTGTGGTACGGATGGGATCCACTTTCTTAAAGTCAGAATTAAGATCCATTATTCCAGAATTTTCAGGGAAGCTGATGCAGAGTTTGCAATGCACAGTGTTATTGGTACAGAAATGAAGTTCCAGTAATTTATGGCAAGAAGGAGCAGAGCTGTAAATTATGAATCATCACAAATTTGTACCAGTCAATGGGAGCTCACCCATAATCTCGCTGCAAGGTTCAAGAAGTTGCTGCATTTGTCATAATTAAAAATTGCTGCAGAAAATCAGGCAGTGGGGATTCACAGCATAAGGAGGTAGCTTTTAGACCCAACGAAATGTACACGCACCCAATCCAGGAAGTAAACGATAGGTGCTCGCACTGGCAGATGTTAGACTATGGGGCAAGGATTTTTAATTTCTGTTTGTTCTTGTGTTTCCATTGCTGCTCTATCTCATATCCGATCTTTCCCTCACTATTAATTTCATAGAATCCCTACAGTGTGGAAGCAGGCCATTTGGCCCGTTGGGTCCAAGGAGCATCCCATCCAGACCCAAGCCCTACCCTATTCCTGCATTCCTGCATTTCGCATGGCTAATCCACCTAGCCTGCACATTTCTGGACCTTATGGGCAATTTAGCATGGCCAATCCACTTAACCTGCACATCTTTGGTCTGTGGTAGGAAACCGGATCACCCAGAGGAAACCCACACAGTCAAGGGAAGAATGTGCAAACTCCATACTGACAGTCATCCAAGGCTGGAATCGAACCTGGGTGCCTGGCACTGTGAGGCAGCAGTGCTAACCACTGAACCCACTCCTTCTGGAATTGATTAATTGATTGATCGATTGATTTAAATTCAGGCAGTTTCTTTCAGTTGCTGTTGGCCAAGATTCAGCTGTCCCATTTCCCTCACCTTGAGTTTAGCAACTTGCATTTCCTGCAAACACCAGCACCAAATAAACTGGAACTGTTGGAGAAAGAAATCTTAACACGCAGCACTAAACTGTGAGGTGACTGTACTTAACAATTCTGATGGGAAACTGAAATCCTTACTGCACATCTGACCTCTTGTTCCTGTCTAGAGATTGCCGAGTTCCTCAAGTGTGTTCCCAGCACTTTCAGAAATTCGGAAACCTTCATGAATTTGAAAACACAAACTCATTTTTTAAAGTAAAAATGTGTGTTTGTGGGATCCTGAAGTGAGATATTGCTGTAGTGTTGGTCAGAGTCCAGACTTGCTGTGTTTTATTTGATATCTAGGTTTGGATTGTTTATGGTGATGGATCCCTTGGCTACAGCATTGCTGAATTTGACACATTCAAACGTCACCAGGTATGTGTCACACCTCTCTGCTAATATTAAATGGGCAATTATTAATATTTTAGTAATTTCTTGTTGCTAGCTACATAGAAAGGTTCACTGCTATCAGGAGTTGTCTCAGCAGTCTACAGACGTCTTCATTGAACATGAATTTGGGATGGTCAACCCATCCTGCTGCTGCTGTTATGAAAGCAATCCTTCTCCACGGTTGCTTTTCTAGTGGTTTCCTGTGCCACATGGTGCCCTCAGGTGAGTGAGTAGTGGTTCCTACGTGTTCCTGCCTGCTCCTACCTAGTGATTTGCTAATGTTTCGTTCCACACGGTCATTTTTTTGTGATGGGGACGTAATACAATTGCAACTTGTTATTGTGCCTGGACCTTGAGGAGAGCCTAGCCTTTAGTACGATGCCTTCAGACAAGTTTGTGATCAGATTAATAACTCCCCATTTGTAGAGTTATGGGTATGGACCAGCCAGTGTAGAGTGTGCTTTAATTCACTAAGGTCATTTAGGAAGACAGGAACTTGTTCTGATGTATTTTCAATCAAGTAGAGACAATTTTCTTATAAAAGGAGCAAAGCATGATTAAATATTCAGATAGCATGCGGGGGTGGCAATGGCCTAATGGCACTTTCACTAGACTATTAATCCAGAAACTCAGCTAATGTTCTATGAACCCGAGAGATTTTAAAAAAAATTGAAATTAAGAATCTACTACGACCATGAAACCATTATCGAATATTAGAAAAACCCATCTTGTTCATTAATGTCCTTTCGGGAAGGACCATCCCTGCCAGCCATAGCAATGTGGTTGACTCTCAACTGCCCTCCCAACAGATGTAGTAAGCCACTCGGTTGTATCAATCACTATGAAGTCTCAACAAAGAAATGAAACTGGGTGGATCACCTGGAAAAGACAGTGGCTGAAACAGCCCTATCGATTCTGCAGAGTCCTCCTGTTAAGGTCTAGAGCCAAAATTGGGAGAGTTGTCTCACAGACTAGTCAAGCCACAACTTGACCTAGTTGTACTCATTATGCCTTACAGAAAATGTCCCAGACACCAGCTTCACCGTCTCTGGATATGTCATGTTCCACCAGCAGGTCAGACCCAGCAGAGTGGGTGGACAGTTGGGAGGGAGTTGGCCTGGGAGTCCTCAACATTGACTCTGGACCCCATGAAATGAAATTTCATGGCTTCAATTTAAACATGAGCAAGGAAACCTCCTGCTGATTACCACATATCATCCTCCCTCAGCTGATGAATCAGTGCTTGGATGAAACGCTGAGGGTAACATGCACAAAAAGTACTCTGGGTGGGGGATTTCAACATCCACCACCAAGAGTGGCTGAGCAGCAGCACCATGATCGAGCTGGTCGGGTCCTAAAGGACAGAGCTATTAGACTGGGTCTGCAGCAGTGGTGAGGGAACCAACAAGAGGGAAAAACATACTTGACATCATCCTTACTACTGTGCCTCAGCAGATGCATTTGTCCATGACCGTACTGGTAAGAGTGATGACCTCACAGTCCTTTTGGAGACAAAGTCCTACCATCATATTGAGAATGCCCTCTATTGTGTTTTGTGGCACTATCACCGTGATAAATGGGACAAACTTCAAACAGATCTAGCAACCCAATACTGGGCATCCATGAGGCGCTGTGGGCCATCAACAGCAGCAAAATTGTATTCCGGCACAATCTGCAGTCTCATAGCCTTGCATATCACCACTCAACCACTACCGTCAAGCCAGGGGATCTTCCGTGGTTCAGTGAGCATGCAGGAGGGCATGCCAGGAGCAGCACCGGGCATACTTACTAATGAGGTGTCAACCTGATGAAGCTACCAAACAAGACTACTTGCATGCCAAACAGCATAAGCAGCAAGTGATAGATAGATAAGCAATCCCACAACCAACCGCTCAGATCTAAGCTCTGTAGTCATTCCCATCCAGCCGTGAATGGTGATGGATAATTAAACAGCTCACTAGAGGAGGACGCTCCATAAATATCCCCATTGTCAGTGATGGGGGAGCACAACAGATCAGTGCAAAAAAGACCCACTCACCACCCTGACTTGGAAACATATCACTGTTCATTTGCTGTCGCTGGGTCAAAATCCTAGAATTCCTTAAGAGCAATGTGGATCAAGCTACAACACATGTACTGCACAGTTCAAGAAGGCAGTTCACCACTACCTTCTCAAGGGTAACTAGGGACAGTCAGCAACACCCATGTCCCAGGGGTGAATTTTAAAAAAAACTGATGCTGTGTTGCTGCCTGTATCTTTACTGAGGTTAGTCTTGCTACCTTTATCACTCTGTAACTCTTCCTAGTACCTGTTACTAAGAAAGTCTCATTCATTCAGAGTATATGAGCATCACTGGTAAAGCTAGCATTTATTGTTCATCTCTAATTGCCCTTAGGACAGTGCCAATCTGCTCTTGAATGCCAAGGGATGTTCCTTGGTCATTTCAAAGGGCGCTGAAAGACTATGATATTTCTGTAGGCCTGGAGTCAGAGATGCCAGACCAAGTAAGACAGAAATCTTTTTCCTTCACAATTGTATGTTGGTTATTTAGATGGATTTTTACAACAAGCCTGGTAATTTCATGGTTACCATTATTGATATTAGCTTTCTCTTTCAGATTTCATTTGGTGTTGCTGCTAGTGATCTTGTTCCCTCACTGTCATCTCATGACCACTCCTTTTCCAAACAATTGAAAACGTATTTTTTAGATCAAGCCTGCTTTGACAAATGCTGCAGGTAGTTGAGGAGATGCATTTAAAATTAATTTTCTCACTCGTTATTGATGTGTGTTCTTTCAGATTCCTGTAATCGCCTTGGTTGGCAATGATGCTGGCTGGAGCCAGATTTCCCGAGAGCAGGTTCCTTTGTTGGGCAGCAATGTGGCCTGTGGCCTGGCATACACTGGTAAGTGGCTGGATCTTCAACTGTGGTAATACAGAACTGAAAATATACCTGTTCTGTCTTATAAAGCTTGTCCAAGCACCCCTTCTGCTTTCATATTGATAACAGGCAGACACATAGAAGAGAGGAAGGAGTTTGCTTCACATTGTATTCAATTCCATGTGAAAAGCAAATGGCTGTTTAATAATTTGCAAGCTGTCTAACTGCTGACTCTGAGCCAGTTTGACTAAGCAGACCAGTGCTAATGGTTGCGTATGTAAAGCAAAAATTTGACTTTTTAACTTCACTCTTTTATTCGTGCTGTTCAGTTACTCCAGTGTTAACTTGGAAATTAACAGCTTTTGCTTAACTTCTGCTAATAAACCTGTTAAGTTCCTGAGTAAGGGAACGAAACCATTAAAGGTACCAATCGCTCAAATCAAAGGTGATTATATGGACCTTGTGTCCTTCCAAGTGGTTTCAAGGAGCACACTCAGAGTAAGGGAATATTTGAGAGGATAAAGTCCAATCCTCTTGTCATATATTTCCATGGGGCTAACAGCGGTCATGGAGACCACTGTTAACCCCAGTTGCTGCAAGCATTCTTAGCATTTGGAAGGACAATGACTTTGATATGTCTTTGCTCCACAGATTATCATACAGTTGCTGAGGGATATGGCGGTAAAGGCTTTCTACTGAACCGGGAAAATGAAGATCAGATGGACGATCTAATACAGGCTGCTCAGGGGGAATGCAGGAAAGGGAATCCGACCCTCATAAATGTTCTGATAGGAAAATCGAACTTCAGGGAAGGCTCCATCTCTGTGTAATAACTCCTTCTGTATATATCATGGATTTGCTGTAACGTGTGTGCCTTGCCCCATTATAATCTTGTCCTAGTGGCATAGACAGAAAACAGAATGGCGAAAGGTTGTATATGATCATGCAATAGCATTTAATGCACAAGGTACTTAATCAAAGACTAATTTACATGAACTACCACTGATATTTTGATTTTATTTTTGTTTTTTAGTAAAAGAAATGAAGGTATATTTTATTAATTTTTAAGTTGATCTGTGTGTTAAATTTGTTGAGTCCATAATACTGTGTAGCTTGGAACTGGTTAACAGTGGTTTTCATTGCAGTTCCTGGGAGCCACTTGAACAATCTCTCTCTTTGTCGGAGGAACCTCAAGGTTCTTGCTGCTGGGTTTGCTTGTGTGTGCTGAAAGAGCTGGAGCATGGTGCTGTTTCCACCCCAGCAAAGAAAAAGGATCTGGAAGCAACATGATCCTTGCACCATGAATCAGAGGCACTGGCTAAAATAAAGAGTGAGCCCGTTTCTTTTAGTTTCTGTTCACTCTGGTTTGCTTGGTAAGTGCATGGCATCCCCTGCCTGTGGTAACATGATGGGATCCCGGAGCTGGTTGTTAAATGGCAGTCATCGCGCACCCCCTCCCAGATAGGAGCTGCTCCATCAGGAAGAATCTTAGCAAACTGCAATTCCAAAGTTGCTCGATGGTTATCAACCTCGCTGCAGCCTCTTTACATCCCATTTTTGTAGCAGTGGTGACAATGCCTGTACAAAGTTCTGGTGTGGATGATAGTGACACCATGTTGTACATGCCACAGTGAAGCTTTTTTGTGATCAGGTCCATTCTTGACCCTGTTGGTTTTCCCACGTGCTCTGCAACTGGTTTTTCCACGTACTCTGCCACTTGCCTCCCCACGTGCTCTGCCGCTTGAGAGGTCAGAGACAGATCTTTCTGGCCACCATCCAGAAGATGTTTTTGAATATAAGAAAGCAACTCAGGAACTTCTAGCAATCCTCACAAGTGAGCAGTTGTGAGTTTGTAGGTGCCAGTGGGTGCTTTCTGAGAGTTACTGCTTCTACTTTAAAAGTTTGCAACAAGATGTGAAAAGACCAGTGACAGGACCATTGCTGTCTAATCCATGCAATGCTCCATTCTTCACGCTCTCTTATAAATTAAACTGAATCATTGAACTTCTTTGTAAATTTCTCTGCATTTAATTTAGATTATTTTTCTTAACTTTGTAAAATGAAAGCTATTTCAATAGTAGGCTGTTTAAAATTCATTCTTTCAAATTAATGCTCATAGTTGATCCAAATAATTAGCCATTTCCTCCTTTTTAATCACTGAGAGACGGAGAAATGTCTGCATTACTTCAATACTTCTAAACCCCGCATTGCATGTTATGCACTGATTTACCTAATCTTTGGTTACATTCAATCATTGATTTCGGACAACTCCACTTTTAAGCTGTTACCTAGACTCTTTACTGAGGCGTCAGTACATTAATCTGTCAGTGCATTACATAAGCAACAAGACTTCTGAACACTTTGTAAGCCATGAATTTTCGTATTGTCCTAAGTGCTCTCTGTTTGATTGTGGAAGACTCCAGCTTGTGGATTACAGAAGCAGCATGACCATTTTGAATACAAATATGAGCTGAATTTCACCTGATATTTAGAAAATGCTACAAAAGCTCAGCAGGTCTGGCAGCCTCTGTGGAGAGAAATCAGAGTTAACTTTTCAGGTCCAGTGACCCTTCCTCAGAACCCTTTTGAATGACTTGAACTGTTTTGAACAGTTTGTTCTCCCAATCTTCAGGTTTTCTTTTAATTGTGTATTGCCCATTGTAGATTTTATCTTCAGTTCTTCCTTGGTGTTGGTACCTGCCAACCTCTTGAGCAAAGGATTTTCAACAGTAGAAAATATTTTAAGTAATTACTAGATCATTGGCTGTATAAGGATATGGTGCTTGAAGAAAATACAAGTTATTGGCTCAAAGACCAGTACATGAGCTACCAATGAATGATACTACTTTCTAGACAATCTGTTGTTTGTTGTTTGATGTTTTATGTTTTAGAAATATAGCAGGTTTTTGACTCTTCTCCTATTATGAGAATCTGTAACTAATGTGTTCCCAGACACTTCTACGTGATAGCAGTTTGTTTACTAAATCTGGTTTTGGCTGTCTCCACCACATCTCCCTTCAGTATTTGGTGATGGGTCTTTCACCTGTTAGTGAGATAAGTCTTTCACTTCATTGCAAGTTCTCTGATAAACACCATGTGTGGATGTAGTGTCATTGCGACCATTCTATTAATAGCACTCTGATCCACTCAGTGATCATGCCTCCCAGCCTTGATGCTGGGGATGCAACTTTCTCCCTCTTGCTAATTGACCTCGGAATATTAGGAATAGAAGAATGTCATTCAGCCTCTTGTTCCAGCGTTCACATAGACTAGGCTGGTCTGTGCCCTATTTGTCCAAATGAGCTGAATTTCACCTGATATTCTTGCCTGAAGAAAATCAGTTGAACTCCATATTGAAAGCTCCATTTGGTTCCTGCCATCCTGGCCTTTTGAATGGGAACATTCCACATTTTTTTGCTAACTTGTGCCTAAAAAATGTGATTCTTGATTTTGCTGCTGAACTGACAGGCTCTAATTTTTAAAGTCTGATCCCTTGTTCTTGATTCTTCAATCTGAGGAAATAGTTTCTTTATATCTAGCATGTTAAGAGGAATTGATCGAACAGAAACACCTCTACCAGATCACTCCTCAATCTTCTGGGTTGATAAGTCATGTTTACCCCAGCTGTTCTTGTAATTTAATCCTTAATAAACATGGTGGGACTTACGTATGCTTAAATTTAAGGAGCTTTTAATTTAAATTATGTGTTTAATCTTCATGTTCATACTTTGTAGTTTATCTTCTTGTCAGCTTGATGTCTGTGTTCCTGCTTCTCATTTACCAAATTTTCATCAGCATATCACATAGTTGATTTTGCACACATTTCTAGAGTTTGCGTACTCAATTGCTTTAATTGTGTGATATTTATCCTCTATTATTCCTGATTTTGATATTCTTCTAGTACTGATAGCTATCTGCTGTGAACAGTGATATTTGTGACAATGGCCACTAAAGCGAATCACCTTGCTCACACATCACACTGCTCAAAGTAAGTGGTGATAACAAGGTTGGCATTGCCATGTCAACATTTATGTTGATACAGTAGGTTTTTGGTATCAGTCTGCAGAGATGGATTGATTCCTCTTCCCTTGGTTGAAATAAATAGGATTTTGTCATAAGTGGATTTGACATAATTGGGCAGAGTTGCTACGTGCTTGCATAAAGCAAGTTCTGAAATTAACCTGTGTTCAGGAAATTGATGTTAATGTCAAAAGCCTGGAAAGCAGTCTGTTTACTTAAGCAGGTTCATATGAAATTACTTTGTCCTAATCTAATGCTACGTAATGTCTCTCCTCAAATTGTAAATTTAACTGTAATGTATTAAGTGTTTGTTGGCTGAGATTCAAATACCTTCATGTTAAGGCGGTAATTAATTGAATGGTAGTGAAGCAAGTGTAGGAATGTTAGTTTGCCCCAAGATGGCAGTGGTGGCCTTTGGAAGTCCACTAGTTGTACCTGGTGCTTGCTGCTTTCATTGGATGTCTGGATTTCTTCCTGATGTTGCAGAGTTGGCTGTCTATTGGCTAGTTGGACAAATAATTGATGCAGTTAAAACTCAAAGAGGATGTTCTGATCATACTTGTCATATACCTATTGAATTAAAGGTTTAATGCAGTCAGCATCAAATTACAATTATAGGTTTTAGATTGTCCAAGAAACTCCTTTCTGTGTGACTGACTACTTAACAAAGCTTTGAGATCTGTTGATTTTTCTTAATGTTTCTTAATTCTTAACAATTCTTCATTTTTAACAATTCTTAACAAATTCATGGTGCTAATGGATTTGGGGAATAGGGTCATTTCTAGCTGTATTCCGTACTGAGGATGACAATTACCAGCACTTGGGGCAGCACGGGAAATTTATTTCCAGCACCTTTTGGTGGGTGTTGCATTAGTGTTGCTGGATGGAACTTGTCATTCAGAGATTTGCTGGTGTAATTGGAGGCTGGTGACTGTGCTCTAAAGTGACCACGAGTCCCTGCCGTTTCTGTTGGGTCTTGTGGTGTTGGAGTTAGTGCAGTGGGGTCAAGAGGAACCATTTGAATTGTGTAACTTTCTGTCAGTTCTTTCCATGCCAGAGTTCTTCGCACTGCACTTAAACCACACCTGACTTTTGCAGAGTTTCAGAAGTGCCACTAACTTGGGGCTTGCGCATCCCTTCCCTTTGTAGAAATTGGACAATTGACTACTTCTGTTGTGTTGTGACTACTTCTGCAGTCTGGACGTGAGGAACTGAGAAACAGCGGAGATCAGGATGGAATTTTAACATCTAATCAGTTGACGATTAGCGTTTGGATTTATTTTGAAATTCTTAAAAGAGCATGTTTAAATTTAATAGGTAATTGTGGACTAGGTTAAGTTCTACCTCCATTTATAAGTAAATGCTGCGTTTTATTCTGTACCTTTACTGTGCATTGAAATATTAAAAGTCTTCTTTACAACCTGAGTCTTGCTGTGTAATTCATGCTCTTCAGGGAATCTTACTGTTGTACACACTATATGTAATTGTGCAATACATCTCCCTCCATGTTCCTTCTTGCCTAACAGTAAGAGCTGTTTGGCTAATTATTTGGAATCATTACCATTGTTTTGTGACAGTGTATTGCTAGCATTTGAGTCGGAGTGTTATCCGCACTCTTGGACTTGAGTTCATTGTGTAGACCGTTGTGCTAACCAGTCACCATATATGGCAAAGTGAAAATCCAGAAAACTCTAATTGTATCTCTATTTGGCCACGTGATCTCTCTACTTCGTGAGCTTTTAACCTTTTCTGCCTTTGCCTTTAGTCTTTGATAAAATGGTAAAATTTCCTACGATTGGGGAAGCATGTGAGGGAATTGAAACTTTTCATGCTGTAAGTAAATGTACAGGAGACATATTTATTTTTATTGAGAATGTATTTGTTCCCAGAGTGACAGCTGATTTGAGTGACCTCCACATTCCCAATATCTTTAATGTCCTCCAGCCTCAGTACCCTCTAAGCCCTGGCTCCTCCAATTCTGAACCCTTACATGTCCCCTTTCAGATCAACAGGTTCTAAGCTCTGGAATTCCATGTTTAGAATTTCTGATGTCTCCACTTCTTTCTCCTCTGCACCCAATTTTCAGATTTTTTTTTTTAAATAACTTACTTGGGGGGGTGGTTTTTAAAAAGAATGTGAGCAGAAGTAGGTCATTTGATCCATCAAGCTTGTTCTCCCATCTGGTTCACTGATGTCCTTTAGGGACGGAAACTGCCGTCCTTACCTGGTCTGGCCTGCGTGTGACTCCAAACGTGCAGCAATGTGATTGATTCTTAACTGCCCTCTGGACAAATAGGAATGGGTAATAAATGCTGGCCTAGCTCATTACGCTCTCACTTTACAAAAATTCAACATGGTCATGACTGATCCTCTAATTCAATGCTGCAATCCCACCCTCTCTAAATATATTCAGTAACTTTGCCTCTGTAGCCTTCTGTTATAGAGATTTCTACAGATTCCCCTCCTCTTAACTGAAGAAATTTCTCCTATCTCAGTCTGAAATGGCTGACCCTGCATCCTTACACTGTGATCCCTTTTTCTGAAAACTCCACCCCTTGTCCAGTCTGTCTAGCTCAGTCAGAATTTTGTACGTTCTTCATTCTTCTTCTTTCTATTAAGTACAGACTCAGTCGACCCAAATCTCTCCTTGTATGACAAACCTGCTATCCCAACAAACATAACAGATCTAAGCTCTGCAGTCCCGCCTCATCCAATCACAAATGGTGGTGAATAATTAAGCAACTCACTGGAGGGGGAGGCTCCACAAATATCCCCAACCTCAATGCTGAGACAGCCCAACAAACGGTGCAAAATATAAGGCTGAGGCGTTTCCAGCAATCTTCAGTCAGAAGTGCCAAGTGGATATCCATCTCAGCCGTCTCCAGTGGTCCCCACCATTACAGATACTAGCCTTAAGCCAATTCAATTCGCTTCATATGACATCAAGAAACAGTTGAAGGCACAGAATACTGCAAAAGTTGAGCCCTGACATTCTAGCAATAACACTAAAAACTTCTCATCCAGATTTTGCCACTCCCCCAGCCAATATCATCCAGTAGTTACAACACCAACATCTACTGGACTATATGGAAAATTGCCCAGGTATGTCCTATACACAAAAAGCAGAACAAATGTACACGTTACGGTCTCCTTACTTGAGAAAGAATGACCTGGCATTGGAGGGGGTGCAGAGGAGGTTCACTCGGTTGTTTCCGGAGTTGAGAGGTTTGGCTTATTGAAGAGAGATTGAGTAGACTGGCACTATACTCATTGGAATTTAGAAGAATGAGGGGGGCTGTTATAGAAACATATCTGTTCCCTTCATAATTTTATTAGATAGAAGCAGGGAGGTTGTTTCCACTGGCAGGTAAAACTAGAACTAGGGTGCATACTCAAACTAAGCAGATTTAGAACTGAGTTGAGGAGGAATATGTTCACCCAAAGGAACTCCCTGCCCACTGAAGCAGTTGAGACTACCTTGCTGAATGCTTTTAAGGCAAAGATAGGTTTTTGAGCAGTGAAGGAATTAAAGGCTACAGCAAGCGGGCGGGTAAGTGGAGCTGAGTCCACGAAAAGATCAGCCATGATCTTATGGAATGGCAGAGCAGGGTTAACAGGTCTGAAGGCTTACTCGTGCTCCTACTTATGTTAAATCAATCCAGCAATTTCTTCCCTATCAGTCTACTTTCAATCATCAGTTAAAGTGAGAAGTCACATGACACCATATTCTAGTCCAACAGGTTTATTTGAAATCACAAGCTTTTGAAGCCCTGCTCCTTTGTCAGGGAGGACTTCACCTGATGAAGGAGCAGCGCTCCTGAAGCTTGTGATTTCAAATAAACGTGTTAGATGAAAACATGGTGTCATGTGACTTCTGATTTTGTCCACTCCAGTCCAACACCAGCATCTCCACGTAATGGAAGATGTAATCAAAAGTGCTATCAAGCTGCACCTTCTTATCATTAACCTGCTCAGTGACACTCAGTTTGGGTTCCACCAGGGCAACTCAGCTCCTGCTCTCATTACAACCTTAATTCAAACATGGGCAAAAGAGCTGAATTCCAGAGGTGAGGTGAGAATCACAGCTCTTGACATCAAGGCAGCATTCAACCAAGTTTGGCATCAAGGAGCCCTAGCAAAGTTAGAATCAATGAGTATCAGAGGGCAAACTCTCCAGTGGTTGGAGTCATATATGGCCATAGGACAATGGCTCTGGTTGTTGGAGGTCAGTCATCTCAGCTCCAGAACATCTCTAGGAGTTTTCAGGGTAGTGCCCTAAGGTCCAAACATCTTCAACTGCTTTGTCAATGGCCTTCCCTCCATCATAAAGTCAGGAGTGAGGATATTTGCTGATGATTATACAATGATCCACACCATTCAAAACTCCTCAGATAGTGAAGCAGTCCATGTTCAAATGCAACAAGACCCGGACAATATCCAGGCTTAGCTAACAAATGGCAAATAACATTTACTCCAAACAAATGCTATCATCAATAAGAGATGATCTAACCACTGCCTTGACATTTAATGGTGTTACCATCATAGAGGGGGATTCAATCAACTTCCTTGGGGGCTTACCATTGACCAGAGACTCAACTGGACTTGCCACATAAACACAGTGGCTACAAGAGCAGGTCAGAGGCTAGGAATCCTGCAGCGAGTAACTCACCTCCTGACTCCCCAAAGCCTATCCACCATTGATACAACACAAGTCAGGAGTGTGATGGAATACTCCCTACTTACCTGGATGGGTGCAGCTCCAACAACACTCAAGAAGCTCGACACCATCCAGGACAAAGCAGCCCGCTTGATTGGCACAACATCCACTCCCTTCATCACCAACGCTCAGTATCAGCAGTGTGTACTATCTACAAGGTGCACTGCAGAAATTCACCAAAAATCCTCAGACAGCATCTTTCAAACCCAAGACCACTTTCATCTAGAAAGACAAGGGTAGCAGATACATGAGAACACTATCACCTCCAAGTTCCCCTCCAAGTTGCTCACCATTCTGACTTGGAAATATATCACTGTTTCTTCACTGTCGTTGGTTCAAAATCCTGGAATTACCTTCCTAATGGTGGACTGGCAGCGGTTCAAGAAGGCAGCTCACCAGCACATTCTCAAGGGCAATAAGGAACAGGCAATAAATGCTGGCCAGCCAGCGACGTCCACGTCCTACAAAGTGAATAAGTAAAAAAGAAACCTTTTCCACTCCTAACTTTTCCCAGTTCTGGTAGAAAGTCACAGACCTGAAACATTAACTTTGCTTCTCTCCACAAATGGGGTGGAGTAGTTATGACGTTTTCGGTTTTTATTTCAAATTAGCCAGTCATTTGAATGTGTTGCCGTTTGACAAGTAAGTTCTTGTGACATGACTCAAGAATCATTGCCTCATTAATTCCGAAATGCTTTGGGAGCAGCAGGGGAGGTGAAGAGATCTCCTAATGATGTCACAAGTACTATATAAATGCAAGGCCTGGATGATTTAAGATTCTGAATCTGGGAATACTGATTAGTGCAAGAACAGCATTAAGCTGTTTATCAGGAAAATTTTCTATGTTGGCTCCATGGCTTCCCTCGGGTGGTTAGTGCACAGTATGATTAACTACTTTCATTGATATTCTCGGGTGTTTAATTAGGCTGGTCCCTATATGGCAGTAGATCGTATCTCTGCAATCAGTGCCCATGAAGGGTTTCCCTTGCTGCCTAAACTGCAGTTTATGGGTTGAGTGCTCCTCATTCAGTAGAGGACCAATGTAGGATAGGGCTGTGGTAGTACTGTACAAACTGAAGACATTTATTACACCCTGACCATAGCTTCATTGTCCCCTGCAGATAGTGAATGTATGACACATTCTGCAATACATTATTGTGCGTGATCTGCAGTCTGCATCCTATTGCAGTGACTTGAATTGAAAAAGGTTTGATTTGATTTAGAGTTATACAGTCATAGAGGTGTACAGCATGGAAACAGAATTAGATGCAGTATTGGTGCCTGCCCAAGCCTTGCTCCCTAAGACGAAATCCCAAAGTCTTTCAAAAGCATGTCAATAGTAAAAAGGTGATAAAAGGAGGAGTAGGGTTAATTTGGGACCAAGAAAGACATTTACATTCAGAGGCAAGAGGCATGGCTGAGGTATTAAATAAATACTTTGCATCTGTCTTTATCTACAGGGTAGATTCTGCCCAGACCATGGTTACAAAAAAGGAATCCCAGTCACAAGAAAGGGTTAAGATTAATAAGGTGGAGGTATAAGATAGAGCCACAGGTGAGATCTCAGAAGACTGGACCATAGCCAAAGTTACGGAAGGGCAAGAGCAGTAATCCAGGAAATTATACCCCTGTGAGCCTTACATCAGTGGGAGAGAAATTATTAGAGAAGGTTCTTAGGACAGGATTTACTCGCATTTGGAAAATAATG